CTTCAGTTTATATCCCAGTTTTCAAATCTAAAGAAATTCTTCCTTTTTCTTTCAAATGTCCTGACTAGATATATGTTGTACAAGACTGGGAGACAATTATCAAAGTGTAAGAACAGTGAAGAGGAGATGAAAGCATGTGGGTGGCAGACTTGGAGCGGGGTGAAAAAGTTGGCAGAAAACCGAACGCAATAGAGACGCGCAGCTGAAGTTCTATGTCCCCCTAGAAATCGAAGGATATAAGAATAATAATAATAAATAATAAGAACAATCTGCTCAATTTTGCCTGTTGATAAATGGATCTTTCGACTCTGCCATCTACCAATTTAACCACATTAACATTACTCATATTTAAGATGTTAATTTTTTAAAATGGGTGGACGGTCTTAAGTTTAAAGATGCATTTATCAAGAGCTTAACATGTACCGGACAATTCTTATGCTCAATGTGGATAAAGTTTCCCTTCATGTCATAGTTCTAACTATTCTTACCATGTCAACTGCATCATATACTCAAATATTTATTTTTACGAATGTTACGACCCTTTCATAATTACATTCGCAACTTATCACCGACCTTTTATCATGTACATATATGTTGAACTTAATAATTACAGGATTAGAACTAAGTAACTAAACATAGTGAACTAATAAAATGAAGGTCATAGGTTAGATTGCTAGTAGAAATAAGAACACATACTGCTAAGGAGACGAAAGTTAGAAAGGACCCCCACTCCAATATTCCATATATGTATTTCAGTGATTCTTTAATGGATGTCATTTCGTGACGTGAATCGCATTGAAAGAATACTTATTTATTATCACTATCTACACATTTTTTGGTGCATCAGTGGCATAGTGGTTAGGACACTCGCTGACCATGCATAGTCCGAGGTTCAATCCCCGACCGACGTACTCCTTTACCTCGCTAAGCCAGTAATAAGACTGGTAAAGAGGGAAGGCTGGGCATATGGCCAGCAGCAACCCCATCCTGTAAAAATAATCACCACTGCTACAGAAACTTCAAACCTCTAGCTTGAAGCCCTATGTTCCACTGGGAACGTAAAGGAGTTAAAAAAACATTCTTTGCATGTATATTGCCGTAAATAATCATATATATGAATTATGTAACTGAAAAGCCCTAAAGAAACTTATGAATCTCTTAAGTATAGCTTTATTTCACAATTTTACTTGTTTTAAATTCATTAAGCAAAAACAATATTTTCAGTCATAAAACTACTGCCACCTTGACCACTATTTCTGAAAAGCACAATCAACTACTGAAAAAGTAACTAGTAGCTGAAAAATTAGGCCATAATAAATCGAACTAGCGATGTATAATTTACACACAATTGGTGGATGGTGGCTAGCAGTGGAATCCAGGATAAGGCGCATTTCGTCCTATTTGTGACTCGTCATCTGGATGTACCTGCATTTCTCAGTGAGTGATGATGTTCCCACCGAGGCTCGAACCCAGTGCCCATAGTTTCAAACGCCAAAGCGTTATCCACTAGACCACTTGGACCACGAGAGCCACAGTTTATGGTGAAATGTGGACACAGTTCCTTTGGAAACCGAAATTATTCACATTACAATATGTGGTCTGCTTGATAATATAAAGTGCAATATGGAAGGCAAGCACAAATGCCTGACAATGCTATGTACTACTGATCGATTCATATGAGTATTTGGATACCACTCGCATGAATCAGGATCGCTTGCTAGCAAAGTGGATCGAAGCTCGTTTTTGGGGCTGACAACATCATCGGCGTTTAGATCACTTCGATCTGGTCAGCAAGCGCTACTGGCTGATGTCAGTGTTGTTTCATTACTCATGTCTATCAATCAGTAGTATATGGTGTTAGGCCATAATCTTAGGCGACAGAAACAATTCACTTCGTTCTAGTATCTGCCCACTAACCCTCACGTTCCCAATGAAACATCTGGCTTCAAGCTAGAGGCTTGAAGTTTCTGTAGCAGCGTTTATTTTTACAGGATGGAGTTGATAGCCTCATGTCTAACCTTTCCTCCTTACCAATTTTACTACTGGCTTAGCTAGGTTAATGAGTGCTTTCGTAGCCGGGAATCGAATCCCGGGCAATGCGCATGGTCGGCGAGTGTCCTAACCGCTGTGTCACCGACGCACTAGTTAGTATGTATGTAAATATAGTAACACTTGAACACCATAATGGAACGAAATGCACATAGTTGTGAGTGTGCCCCTGTGTACCCAGCTTCGGTGGGAACATCATCACTCACTGGGAAATGCAGGTACATCCAGCTGGCGAGTCCCAAATAGGACGAAATGCGCCTTATCCTGGATTCCACTGCTAGTCAACATCCACCAAATAAATTCGAAGTACGTGCCCAGACATCGTCGAAGCATCTGCACAAGAAGCCAACTGACATGTCCATCTGAGACCGATCACTTCGGTCCAATGAATCGACGGGAAAATCTAAAACTCAATTAAACTGAAGTAGACAGCTGTATAAAAAATTACTATAAATTATTGACTTCATGCATTGATATATTTTGATTAAATGTTTTAACAAATTACATATGTATCAATTAGCACTACACTTAAAAAACTGTTTGGGAAATCCCACTTGAATGATCTATTTACAATGCTGACACTTATTTGGATATTTCAACTAACTTTTTACTTAGTATACAATTGGTGGATGGTGGCTAGCAGTGGAATCCAGCTTGGTGCGCATTTCGTCCTATTCGGGACTCGTCAGTTGGATGTACCTGCATTTCTCAGTGAGTGATGATGTTCCCACTGAGGCTCGAACCCAGTACCCATAGTTTCAAACGCCAAAGCGTTATCCACTAGACCACTTGGGCCACGAGAGCCACCTCTTGTGCAATGGGTCATATATTAATTATTGAATTGAATTTTTGAATTTCCCGTCGATTGATTGGACCGAAGTGCTCGGTCTCAGGTTGACATGTCGGCTTCTTGTGCAGATGCTTCGACGATGTCTGGGCATTTAATTAGTATACAATTGGTGGACACAAGAAGCCGACATGTCAACCTGAGACCGGGCACTTCGGTCCAATCAATCGACGGAAAATTCAATTCAGTAACTTTTTACTTATTTCCCTCTCTCCTATACGGCTGTATAACATTGTTTCACCGTTTGCATTTCACCTATTGGCCTAATCCCTATTATTTGTCTTTGTTCTTGTGTAGTGGTGTTGATAATGTGTTGTTTTGATGATTGTGATTTAGTTTGAATGACGTCAAAGTTGGCTGTGAAGATTTTGGACTGTCTGCAGGAAGTGTTTATTGTGTGATTCTTGCTGAGAGAGTTTCGATTCCACCCTGTTGGGAACATTTAACTTAATTCTCAATAGTTTTGTTTCGTGCATAAGGACTCTTTGATCTGTATAGCTGCATACCGGAATTGTTGAGGTAGTTTCGACTATTTCATGTCATTTTCGCTAAAAAGTACCACGGATTTTATCACCAATAACTATCTTTATGATGTTGTTGGGGTACTCTGGGACTGTGAACAATTCAAAGAAGTTTTGGTTAGCTATACAGTAGAACTCGATTGGCAAACGGCTAGTTGGTAGTCTGTGTGAGGGTGACACATGTAGGAAGAGATTATGCGAAGGGGAGGTGAAAGAATGTGGGCACACATGGAGCCAGGTGATGAAAACGTTGGCAGAGAACACAACAGACACATTGGATACGCGCGGTTGAAGCCCTATTTTCCTCTAGGAACTAAAGGAGACAACAATAATACAGTAGAACGCAAAGGTTGGTTTCAGACATTCAAATCAAAACGTATAAGTTTTAGTCGCTACATTTAGTTATCATATCAAAATTCAGGATCAACTAGGAAAGTATATAAACAGTAATCAGAAGTAAGATAATCACCACACTCATTAACTATGAGCAAAATATGAACAAATTACTAGCTCACAAAAATCAATTTTATGCCACATTAAAAACAGAAGCGTTGCGTTAGTGGCAGATTATTCGCCAACCAAGGATATTGTAAGATGTTCCACTTCCTCCTGGAGCATTTCTAAACGTTACCCACTTTACTTTTACTTTTTTTAATTCCTGTATATTTCCAGTGGAACATAGGGCTTCAAGCTAGAGGCTTGAATTTTCTGTAGCAGTGATTATTTTTGCAGGATGGGGATGCTGACCTCATGCCCAGCCTTTCCTCTTGATATGTATCCATATATATATATATATATATATATATATATATATATATATATATATATATATTTATGTGTGTGTATGTTGGTCTCTCTTTCTGTTTGCTCGCTTAGTCTGTGACCATTTCACTTGTATGAACCTGTCTCCTTTAACAATGTATATTCCCCTTATATTATATATAATATGTGTGTTTGTTGACAGTCCGTTGCTTGGTGACATATATCCATATATGGTGGTTGTTGACATGTCTGCTATATTTTGCTATATATATATATATATATTTCGTTCTCACAATTTGTGTGACTTTACTTTTGGTGTGATACCACTTATTGCTTCTCCTTGTGTTTGGAAAATAGAAGTATCATCGCAAACCTAGTGGTCTTCTGATTTCCGCCTTCTTGCGTCAGGACTATTAGTTCCTCGACCAGTCCATAACAATAATTTAGCGACGAGTACATAACACCTCTTGACCAGCCTTCGTTTCTGGCTAAGCGAGGTAAAGGTGTGTGTCGGCTGGGAATCGAAACCCGGACCATATGCATAACCGGCGAGTGTCTTAAACACTGTGCCACCGTTGCACGCCTACTTTACTAGCCGGTGGTAAATCTAAAACTGAAGGAAGGTTGAGCGTGAGGCTGGCAACCCAATGCTAGAGAAACTGGAAAGCTTGAAGCCCTCTGTACCACACAGAACGCGAAGCAAGAAAAAATATATAAAACAGTAAAAATAGAAGCAACGAAAATGCTGTGATAGATAATATACCAAAGAAAACAACCATAAAAGCATAATGTTTGTAGTAAAAAGTTAAAGAATTGCCTACTTCACAGCCTGAATCGTTAATAACCAATGGGCGTTCTTTACTTGATTCGTCCGGTGTATAAACGACAAACATGAGGGTGTATAGTTTGCGGTTGGTCCAACGACTAGAGAATGAAGTAATTTCCTCTTGAGAAACAGGCATCTGTCAATAACAACAACAGAAAAAGGAAATACAACACATCACCGCTTCCAATGATTATCATACCTCACGACAAAATGAACAAAACTCACATAACAAGTGTAATGTTTACGAAATTTGGTTTTACTGCTCATTCTTTATGTCCCAAGTGGAACATAGGGCTTCAAACTTTGTAGTCTCTGAAGTGGTGCCGCTAGCCCCGAAAAACCCTACCTTCCTCATTCTTCAGGTATGCTGTCAGCTAGGGCAAGGTTTAGGAGTGTGTCGGCCGGGAATCGAACCCTAACCGCTGATGTGGTTGGTGAGCATTCTACAACTGAACCATAGTATTTCTTTTACAATAAGCTACAATAGTAAAAAACGTCAAATCACATAAAAACTAGTATAAAACACGGTGAGCGGAAAAATTCTGAAATAAACAAAAATCATTTGATAAAAGACTAAATATGTGGCTAACATGATGGATAGTAACTAGCAGCGGAATCCAGGATGCACGTTTCGCCATATTTGGTACTCGTTATTTGTGTGCACTTGCAGTCCTTAGTCAATGATGGCGTTCCCTGGAATCTGGAGTCCAGCACCTAGCGTCTTCAAATGTTAAACAGTTATCTACTAAACCATCTGCTGAGTTTGAGTATCAATGAGAATATCACCGCGCTCATAGGGCACTGCAAATACATCCAGATGCTTCCTCTGAAGTAGAAAGAAATGCAGAGCCTGGATTCCATTGCTAATCATCAGCTACCATATAACAGTGTATGTTAATCTTCAGACATCGTTGAAGAGTCCATACTGAGTGCCGACATGTCAATAGGGACCGGACATTCCGGTCTAGTCAATCAACGGAAGAAACAAAATTCAACCTAAACTAAACATGAGTACATTCTCATTTTGGTATTCAGAGATGTCTCAGAATTAAGCTCATATTTCAATCATAATATAAGTACTTCACATTAAACGTTTGGCGGTGTGGAAAACTCCATAACTATTTATGGACACTTAGGCTGCTCAACTGTGAATCTATTTATTGATGCAATATGACTTTCCCTAATAACCACAGAAGTGTCCCTCACAAAATTGAAAGAGAGAATGCGAGAATGCTTGCAACTGGACTGCTGGAAATGCATATCTACCTAGGAGAGCTGGAAAACCTATAGTGTACATGGGAACCAGAATACGAAAGTACCAAATTGTGTAGGAGCCTTTCTCAGTCACCAGAAACCTTGCGAACCCAGCTCCACTGCCTTCTCGATCAGACTTCAATTCAAAGGCTTAGGAGGTGACTGTATAAGACAACCAACAGCTGAGGTCTGAGGTTTTCGGCTAGTATCCCAATACGCGCTTGGAGCTAAGAGATTTTGTGTGTGTATCTGTTTCTCTGGGTGAACATAATGCACAAAATTTGTTTTTTTTAAAGATAGATAATATATTTACTTTCTGCAAAAAGTATTCATCAAGCTTATTCAACAGCTGTACGACAACGGTGGCACATGTCAAGTGATCCACAACAGAAAACTCAGCGAGGCGTTTAGAGTAAACACAGGAGTCAGACAAGGGTGCTTATTATCACCCACGATGATATTCCTAATTGTGGTGGACTGGATTATGCGTCAGACAGTGGGAAACGAGAAGACAGGGATATCCTTGACCGACGCGAAGAACCTAGAAGACCTGGATTTCGCGCGTGGATGATTTATGTTTGATGTCACTGTCACAAAATCGAAGACTTACAAGCGAAAACCGACAAACTGGTCGAAGAAGCAGCCGGTGAAGACAGGACTCCAGGTGAACATAGACAAGATGCAGGTTATGAAAATAACCAACCAACAACAACAGCAGAAGCAACATCCAGCGTCAATCACCATCAACGGGAAGGATTTGAAAGAGGTTACTTCATTCACTTATCTAGCATTGAGCATTGTCTCAACTACAGTAGGAACGGACGAGGATGTCAAATTGAGAATCGGGAAGGCGAGAGACACATTCACTCATCAACCTGAAACCAATCTGGAAATCTTCGTCACTCAGCCAGCATCAACAACAAATTCGGTCGAATTTTCAATACAAACGTCAAGTCAGTCACTTCTTCCATACTGAACGGATCAGAAACTTGGCGAGCGGGTCACAAAAAATATTTCCAACAGGCTATTACAGACCTTTATCAATAATTAACTGTCTTCGCTCTATACTGAAAATCAGATGGCCGGGCCGGAAAGAATCACCAACAAGAAACTATGTGAACAAACAAACAAAACAAGAACCAGTCGTTTCCCAACAAATATGCAGGAGAAAGTGGATTGAGATGGAATGGACACTCACTCGCTGAGGAGGCAGCTGGGTGACATCGCGCGCGTATCAGGCCACTGCTCGCGTGCAACCAGGCCGGAAGGGAAGCGGCGAGTGGGACGTCAGTGCAAGGGTGACATGGAGGAGATCGTGTGAAGAAGAGTTGAAACAGTACGGACTAACATGGATACAGGTGAAAAGTACATCAGAAGGAAGACAGAAGTGGCAAGTGGAGACGTGCAGTTGAAGCTCTATGTTCCACTGGAAACAATAATAATAATAATAATATGCAATGTATGTATATGTTTAGCAACGGAAAAAAACAGAGCTATTCACCAGCTGAATTGTTTATTTGACTAACTGATGTACATTTAATTGGTGGATGGTTAGTAGCAGTGGAATCCGGGATGTGGGTTTCGTCCTATTTGGGACTCGTCAACTGGATATACCTGCATTTCTCAGTGAGTGATGATGTTCCCACCGAGGCTCGAGCCCAGTGCCCATAGTTTCAAACACCGAAGCGTTATCCACTAGACCACTTAGGCCACGAGAGCCACCTCTTGTGGTGACCATCCACCAATTAAATACTAATTAAATGCCCATACATCGTCGAAGCATCTGCACATGAAGCCGACAAGTCAATCGGAGACCGAGCACTTCGGTCGATCAATCAATCGACAGGAAAATCTAAAAATTGAATTAAATAAATGAATCAGTGGATGTTAGCAATCGACTTTTAGTCGACGGGGTGCGTAATTTGTTCTTGTTGACCTTCTTTCATCTTCCTTTCATGCTTTCTCTATATACTGTTTCGCATAAGAATCTTTTATTTCTCGTCATCGATCCTTAATCCATGTAACTCTGCTATTCAATGTTATTCTTCTTGCAGAAGATCGTACAAATAATTTCCTACTTATAAATGCTAATCAGTAGAACAAATGTACATATGTGAGTTTTTGACATAAGAAGGCTGAAGGAAATTCTTATATCAGTAATCTCATAAATATGCTTGCCCTTCAATATGCCCTTTCAAACTTATTTGTGCAAACATTTATTGTTTTAATTCAACAATAATGGGTAATTATTCAATTGAATTCTAGATTTTCCCATCAATCGACTGGACCGAAGTTATCGGTCTCAGATGGACATGTCAGTCGGCTTCTTGTGCAGATGCTTCGACGATGTCTGGGCACGTAATTCGAATTTAATTGGTGGATGGTGACTAGCAGTGGAATCCAGGATAAGGCGCATTTCGTCCTATTTGGGACTCGTCATCTGGATGTATTCGCATTCCCTTGTGAGTGGTGACATTCTCACAGAAGCTATCATGGCCCAAGTGGACTGGTGGGTAATGTTTTGGCGTTTGAAACTATGGGCACTGGGTTCGAGTCTCAATGGGAATACCACTGTATACTGTCAATGCAGTTACATCCATCTGATGAGTCCCAAATGGGACGAAGCGTGCATTCATAATTTGTCATTATTACTTATCTTGACTGTCATTTTGGCTTAAATCAAGTCTTCTCGGCTTTATTCCTGCACTTTTTTTCACCTTTAAAAGATGACACGAACTCAAACAGATTGCATTTATTTATTCTATGTACTTTAAATAATTTCACACAGTTATAAAGTCCTAACCTTATCATCTTCTGTTTTAAGTAGTCATTATTTAAGAATTGATAGTGTTGCACATTTTTGTAAGTCATTCGAAAACATTATAAAAGAACTAGAATTCGAAGATTTGTATTAAAATGTCACCACATAAAGTGTTGATCTTCGGACACTGTATAAGCGTCCGTACTAGGGGCGACCATATTAACGAATACTAAGCATTTCTGTCAATGCAAAAACTGGCGTGGATTATGCTCCTGTCCATCCCAAGCAAAATAATAAGCCAACCTGGATGAGAAACTCCGACCGGAACAAGCTGGATTCAGGAGAAACAAGTCATGTATTGATCAAGTCGCCACACTACGGATCATCATTGAGCAAAGCTTGGAATGGCAGTCACCTCTCTATCTCACTCAACTTCATCGACTTTGAAAAGGCCTTCGATGGTGCAGCGTCGATCGCGAGGTGATTTGGAAACTGCTTCGCTACTACGGGGTCCCATCGACAATTATACATCTCATCCAACAGTTATACGACAATGCTGAATGCCAAGTAATCCACAACGGGAAACTTACGGAATCATTTGAAGTGAGGATGGGAGTGAGGCAAGGCTGTCTACTATCACCAATGATCTTCCTGATTGCAGTAGACTGGATAGTGCGGTAGACAGACAACGGGCAATGAGGAAACAGGTATAAATGGACTCACACAAAAGACTTGGAAGATCTGGACTTCGTCGATGTGATGTATATATCTGATTTCCCACAAACTGGAAGATATGCAAGTGAAAAGCAACAAGTTGGCAGAAGAAGCATCCAGAGAAGATAGGAATTCAAGTGAACACAGATAAAACAGAGGTGATGGAGATTCCTGGCCAACACCAACAGCAACAACAACAACAACAGACAACAATCAGCCAGCATAAATGGGAGGATCCTGAAAGAAACAACCTCCTTTACCTACCCACCTACCTGGGAACCATCGTTTCAACTACAGACAGACGGAACTGACGAGGATATCAAAGCCAGAATCGGAAAAGCAAGACAAGCTTTCATTACCCTTAAGTCTGTGTGGAGGTCAACAGCACTCAGGACGACAATGAAAATAAGATCCGGATTTTCAACTCCAATGTGAAGTCAGTGCTACTCCCTATACGGATCAGAGACTTGGCCAGCGCGTCATAAAGAGCATCTCCAACAAACTTCAGACCTTCATTAACAGTTGTCTTCGCTCAATACTCAAGATCAGATGGCTAGCCAGAAAAAATCAACACCACGGAGGGATCTCTGACAATGAGCGAACCAACCAGGAACCGATTGTGAAACAAATAAGCAGGCAGAAATGGAGATGGATTGGCTGGCCATACTTTGAGGAAACCATCAAGTGACATCACGGGACAAGCCATCGCTCGAGTGGAACCCGATAGAAAGCGAAGCGGCGAGTTGGTC